TGAACGGACAACTGTGCGCTCAGCAGGCTTGGGTGGGCTGGGACTGGTGAGCGGGCTGAACTCTGACCTCTCAGTCCCTCCTGGGTCACGGGCACAGAGTCAACCCAGCACTGACTGCCGCCATGGCAGGTGCGATGCAATTGGTCGGGGGCCCCACAATCGCAGGGCTCCTGGACTGCGAGAGGGTGCAGGCTGGGCTGAAGGACCCCCCCACCCAAATGCATGAATTTCGTGCACTAGGCCTTTGTTATATTATAAAAAGTCTTTCCTTGGGTGAAAATTTGACAAGAAAATAATTGTAGTTCATTGGCTTTTAAAAGCAAATGATTAGAATGTCACATTAGCCAGCCCGGCCAGTGTAGCTCAGTGGTTGAGCATTGACCTGTGAACCAGGAAGTCATGGTTTGATTCCTGGACAGGGCACGTGCCTGGGTTGCAGGCTCAGTCCCCAGTAAGAGGCATAGTAATCTGGCCACTCAGAGTGTGTGTGTGTGTGTGTGTGTGTGTGTGTGTTTATATTTTAGAGGCCTGGTGCATGAATTTGTGCATGGGTGGAGTCCACCCATTCTGGCCAGGGGAAGGAGACATGGGTGGTTGGCCAGCCTACCTGCTGAACGAATTCCTGGTCAAGGGGACAATTTGCATATTAATCTTTTATCATATAGGATATGCAATGAGTGGCCAGATTATTATGTGTTCGGAGATCATAATAATCTGGCCACTCAGTGTATAAAGAGAGTGAGTGCTAGAGCAATATCTAGCTAGCTATTGGGCTTTGTTAAAGATTCCATACCAATGTGAAGAGCATCTTTTCTTCAAAATACAGAGATCCAAACTTCTTTACAGCAGTCACCTGTCAGTATGTATTAGAACCTGCAATAAAAGATTCAAGGAGAAATATCTATCTAAGCATATTTTATTCGTAGTTTAAAACTGCCAGTTATATGTATATTGGTTATATGCCTTTTAAATTGGGATATTTTAACCAATTGGTTATTATAACCCATACTATTCAATATCCAAGTGTTTTATTATAAGTTTTCAATTTTTAGGTACAGAAATAGAATCCAGCTTTCAGTGTGATCCTGTGATTGAAACTTGGATATCACTGATAAAAGATCCCAAGATGAGGCCTTTTAAGGACCTGATCAGAGTAAGAATAAGTATACTTAGAAATATCTTGTTTTTCTTGGCTAATGTGGCCAAGGACTCTAGTTGGTATATGCCAGCCCTACTCTTAATTCCTTGTCTAAGGTGAAAGTTGGTTCTTTTGCTATAGTGGCAATTGGACTAAATCTATAGCGCTATGTGCACATTAGTTATAAATACTTATTTTAGAACCATATGGTCGCATATATTTCTCGTTCCAAAATTGTCTTCAGTCTACTTTAATCCCTTAATTTTTAGAGATGAGGAAGCAGATTGCTTTGTTCAAAGTGAGCTAGAACTAGAACATGAATACTTGCTAGCCATGTAATATAAAGGAAATTATTTGCTACGTAAATAAAAAAATAGAAACTCTAAATAGGAATGCAAATCAAAATGAAGCAGTGTTATTAAAATTTAAGTTCAATTAATTCTTACTAAAATTCGTGTGGGAAGATGAAAGGATTTTATAGAGTATTTGAATGAAGAAGTTTTCTTAAAATAATTCTTGCCCTGGCCTGTGTTGTTCAGTGGCTAGTGTCGGCCCACATACGAAAAAGTTGAGGGTTCCATTCCCAGTCAAGGACAAAAACCCAAGTTGCAGTTTTGATCTCTGACCCTGGTTGAATGTGTGCAGGAGGCAATCACAAAATACCTCTTATATAAAGGTCTCACATCCAGATTTCTCTTTCTCTTCCTATCCTTCCTCTCCCTTCCACTCTCTAAAAATCAATGGAAAAAAATATCCTCAGGTGAGGATTAAAAAAAATAATAAAGTAAAAAGAAAATTTTAAGTATGTTTTATTTTAAAATAATTTAGTAAGCATCTTTTAATTTACTAACAATAAAAAGTAGTATATTTGTCTGAATTGCTAGTTTAAATGTTTGTTAGTTATAAGGGATAAAAAAGAGGTCAAACTGGCTAACTTTCTCTTTGTTCTTATTCATTGGGCTATAAATATTCTGTGTTGTTTTCTGTCTGAAAGTGCTATTGTATATAGGCTATATTTTACTGTACTTTGGGAAAAAACAAGTAGGTGTTTTTCATTTATGAGTTTCCTATGAAACCTACTGGTGGAATTACAAAACCAGGAGACCTCTATGGATTAGCATAAGGATTTTATTGTGAAACCTTTGTAGTGAGGCTAATAGGAAGACCAGGGAAAGAAACAGATACAGGAATACCTAGTCCCATTAAACTGCTAATGAAATAGAGATGAGATTGTTGATCATAGTCATTTTTCTGACTTATCAAAAGTGTCAGGCTTTTGTTTTCCATACCTGTCAAATTTATACTTTTTAGTTAAACTTTATTTTGAGATAATTGTAGGTTCACATGAATTTGGAAGAAACAATACAGAGTTTCTGTGTACCTTTTACCCGGTTTGCCCCAATATTAATATCTTAGAAAACTATGGTAAAATATGACAACCAGGAGGTTGATATTGATAAAGGACTCTTCACCACGGGAATCCTTCCTATTGTCCTTTGTAGCCACGCCCACTTACCTCCCACTCACATCCCACTCCTGCTCCCTCCTTAACTCCTGGCAACAACTAATCTGTTTTCATTTCAATACTTTTGTCATTTTGAAAAAGTTATATAAGTGGAATCATTTATGTAACTTTTGGAGGTTATTAGTTTTTTTTTTATTCAGCATAATTCCCTAGAGGGTCATCATGTCGTTTCATCTACCAGTAGTTTATTTCCTTTTTATTGCTGCGTACTAGTCCACATAATATGAATAAAACTGCTATAAACATTTGTGTAGAGGTTTTGTATGAACATACCATATTTTTACTTACCATATTCTTTCTACCTTTCTGATGTTCTAAGGTTCCTTCTTTTTATCATTTATTTTCTGCTTTGAGAATTTCTTCTAATTTTCCCTCATCTGAGAATGTCTTGATTTTCCCTATTTTGCTGGCTGTAGGATTCTGGGTTGACAGTTCTTTTCTTTCAACACCTGGAAACAATATACCACTTTCTTCTGACTTGTATAATTTTGGAAGAGAAATCCCCTGTCATTCTAATTGCTTTCTCCCCCATAGATAAGGTATAGTTTCTCTGGCTGCCTTCAAATATTTTCTTTGCCCTTTGTTTTCAGAAGTTTAATTATGATGTGTCTTGGCATGGATTTCTTCAGGTTTATCTTGCATAGGGTTTGTGCAGCTTCTTGAATCTCGATTTCGTTTCTCTTTGCAAATTTGTTAATTTTTAGTCATTATTTCTTTGAGTACATTTTCAACTTCACTTTTTCTCCTCTCTTTCTGGGTTCCAATGATATAAATATTAGATCTTTTGCTGTAATCCTTCGGGTCCATGAGGCTGTTTCTGTTGTTTTGTTCCTTCGGTCTATTTTTCCTCTGTTGTTCTGATTCTTTACTGTGTCCCTTCCATTCAGCTATTGAGACCATCCAGGGAGCTTTTCTTTGCTGAGATTTTTTATTTTTCACTTGTCTAAACATGTTTGTAATTGCTTATTGAGTAATTTTTGTCATGGTTTAAAATCTTTATCAAGTAATTCTAACACCTCTGTCATCTTATAATTTTGCATGGTTTTAAATATTTCAGTTCTTAATATAATGAGTGATTTTCTATTGAAACCTGGACATTTTCATATTATGTTTTAAGACTCAGGATATTATCTAAATCTCCCATTTCCACTGATTTTTCCTGACACTACTTTGGTAAGAGGCACCTCCTTTTTACTGCCAAGTGGGCATAGAAGTTGTGATTCTCTACTCAGCCTCCATTGACACCCAGAGAAAGGAGATCCTTATTACTGCTGGGTAAGGGTGAAAGTCCAGGCAGGCTCCCCATGTAGTCTCCCAGGGCACTGCTAGGGTAGAAGTGGGGGCACGTCACCAACTCTCAGGCGTGAAAGTCCTGGCTCCCTACTTGGCCTGCCCTGACACCAATTAGGAAGTTGGGCCTTCTCATTATGGCCTTATGAGATCCAAGTCTAGGCTCCCACTCAGCTATTGGTGCTGTGGGTAGAGGTAGAACCAGCTTTCTGTGGTGTTTGGCTGTAGAGGGGCTATTGTCAAAAGTTTTCAGTCTTGCTAAGGCTGCTCCTTTCTTGTTTTTGTTTTTTGACTAGAGAGACTAGGCTTTTGTTGGGACTTTTTTTTTTTTTTTTTTTTTTTAATCTGCTAGTTGGCATTTCAGGTTAATGGATTCTTTAACTCTAAATCTGGGATATATTTGGCAAAAAGAAAACCAGAGTAACTCACCACTGTGTCATTCTTTGGACCCTGAAGTTCCTAGCTGGTCTGCCTTCTCACTGCTTTTCAGAATCTTTTGCTTGTTTGTTTGTTTTTTATTGATTTCAGAGAGAGAAAAACATCAATGATGAGAGAGAATTACCGATTGGCTGCCTCCTGCACACCCACACTGGGGATTGAGCCTGCAACCTAGACATGTGCCCTGAACAGGAATTGAACCATGACCTCTTGATAGGTCAACACTCAACCACTGAGCCATGCTGGCTAGGCTCTTCTTATGTTTTATATTTAATGTCCAGGTTTTTAGTTGTACGTAGTGAAAATAATAGGGGAAAATATGTCTATTCTATTTTCCTGGAGGTGGAAGTCCTCAAATGTACATTTTAATTCATTTAAACAGTTATATCAAAACATAACCATTATTGGGGGAAATGTTTCATACTTTGAATATTTGATAATTTGCATAATACTGTGTTCACAAAGTCAGCTGGAAAATAACATTATTTAAACTGAAATTTATTGTTCATCTTATTAATGAAAGCTTTTCCCCTCTAGGAAATAATGCAAAAGGTGTCCCAAAGCTCCTGACCAGTGAACAAAGATTTGAGAAAGACGACAGCCAAGCTCATGTTTTCTCCTGATCAAGAAAATCATCCATCCAAAGCACCAGTAAAATATGGTGAACTCATTGTCCTAGGGTAAGGTTTCCTCATCTGATGACATAAAATTGAATAATGTATAGTAACTTTAAAGGTACTTTTTTAGAATTTATACCCTACTTATTTCCAGAAAGGACTTAAAGCTATAGGTTAATATTACTAAATCAGGAGACTCTTTTAATTGTCAATTTTATGCTATCACAAATACTGCCTCACCCTCACCCCTAGAAAGGACAGAGCTCCTTAAAGATGAAATAAAAACTGTATTTGTATAGAGTCACATAATCATTCCATTTGTCTTTCCTGTTCCTTGTTTTAGAAAAATTTGCTTTGACTGACTTTATAATTTTTTACAATACTGTTTAATAAAGAGGTAATATGCAAATTGACCATCACTCCAATACATAAAATGGCTTCCCCCTTGTGGACACAAGATGGCCACCACAAGGTGGTTGGCAAGGAGGGCAGTTGGGGCAATTGGACCTGCAAGGGAGGGCAGTTAAGGGTGACCAGGCTGGCTGGGGAGGGCAGTTAGGGATGACCATGCTGGCAGGGGAGAGTAGTTAGGGGCAATCAGGCTGGCAGGGAAGGGCAGTTGGGGGCAACCAGGCTGGTAGGGGAGGGCAGTTGGGGGCAACCAGGATGGCAGGGGAGCAATTAGACATTGATCATGCTGGCAGGGGAGTGGTTAGGGGTTGATCTGGCTGGCAGGCAGAAGCGGTTAAAGGCAGGGAGGCAGGCGAGTGGTTCAGAGCCAGCAGTCCTAGATTGTGAGAGGAATGTCTGACTTCCCGGGCCTAAACGGGCAGTCGGACGTCCCTCAATGGGTCCCAGATTGGAGAGGGTGCAGGCTGGGCTGAGGGACACACACACCTTCTCCCCTCCTCCTCCCATGCATGAATTTCGTGCACCAGACCTCTAGATTGTTTTTTGGTGTTTTTTTTTTTTATAGAGAGTCAGTACAGCCCTAGCTGAATAGAGCATCAGCCTGCGGACTGAAGGGTCCCAGGTTTGATTCCCGTCAAAGACCTTTGCTCAGGTTGCAGGCTCTATCCCCAGTAGGGGCATGAAGGGACAGCTGATCAATGATTCTCTCTCATCATTGATGTTTCTCTCTCTCCCTCTCCCTTCCTCTCTGAAATCAATAAAAATATATGTGTGTTTTTTTTAAAGTCAGTACAGTTTTTACATACGGCAGTTTTTGAATAAATTCCCTTCTTGACAACCACTAATGTAGGCCATTTTACAATCACATTGTCCTCCAACCTCAAAACTGTCTATTCCCTGCCTCATTTCCCCCCAGATTGACCATGCTTTCAAGATGGGAGGGGGAAAAGTGAATGAAGAGAAATTATTATTAAGCTACTGCTTATGCCATAATGAAGCAGTAAAAAATGAAAAAAAAAAAAAAAACATGACCAACACTTGGATCCAAATTCTAGCTTTGCCAGTGTACATGTGTGACCTTTCTTAATTCCTTTGAGTCTCTGAGGAACTTCAATCCTCTGAGGAATAACTTAATTCCTAACCTGTAAAAGTGGAGAGTGATACTAGTCTCACAGAGTTTTTTATGAGGATGGATTAAGTGAGGTGATGTATGGGATGGGACCGAAGAGTGCCTATTATGTGGTAAACACCCAGATGTTTTGTTTTGAACTTTTTCCCTAGTAGTTCAGTCCTTGCGTACTTGTTTACCTACAGAACATATATGTATCTTATCATGAAGAAATGGTCATAATGTCTGAACAACAAAAGTATGTTTAACTGCTGCTTAGCAGGCATCTCAGTTGGACAGATTTTGACAACATAATGTGAATATATATGTGTATGTTCAAGTGTCTGAGACTTAACAAACAAGCCTAAAAATACCGTATTTCAAAAGTTCAGCTATTTAAAGTGTTTGGTTCACAATTAAAAGTGATTCTATTTTAAACAATTTATATTGTACTTTTAAAGGTTAGATTAGCACATGCAAACATTAACCTTTAGAAAAAAATAGAATGAGTAGTCAGATATGCCACTAATCACCTTTTTGAAGAAAAATATAAGTAACTTAAAGTAATAATGAAAAAAAGATTGTGACAAATACACAATCCAAATTCTAGCTTTATATGTATAATACAAACAGTAGTTCTATGTGACTTAGAACATGGCCAGGAGGAATCTCATTTTGTTTTATATTCAGGCAACTGGGGATCAGAAGTTGCTAAAACGAATTTTAGATACTTATATTGTGCTAATAGATAATTGGGGATTGATCCTATAAGGCAAAGTAACACATTTGTTAGAATTGTATGGTTCTTACAAGAGATCACCTAATCTTTTTTCTCTCCTATCAGATATAATGGGTCTCTCCCAAATGGCGATAGAGGAAGAAGGAAAAGTAGGTTTGCTTTATTTAAAAGACCTAAGGCAAATGGGGTGAAGCCCAGCACTGTGCATATTGCTTGTACTCCTCAGGCTGCAAAGGTAAAAAAACAAAACAAAAACTGTAATTTAACTTGGAGAAATTGAAAGACTTGTTGTACATGTAGTTTATATTTTCTAGCATTCCCCTCACGTTCTATACCAGAGGTTTTCTTTTGTTTGGATGAGAGAACACACGTTGGAGACATTATATTTTAAGGGCTGCCATATGAAAGGGCATCAACTTTTTTGTAGATGACAAACGAGGATCAGTAGGTGGAAATTAGAAACATCTCTTAGCCAGGGCAGGGGTGGTTTAGGGCTTTATCTAATATTTAGAATTGTGCAGCTGTCAGCCCTGAGAAGTAGGGCATTCCTGCTGTTACTTAAAGGGCCCTTGCCTAGGCTTGGCAAGCAATGTAGTATAGAATTGTATTCAGGTACTAGAAGCATGTTTAGATAAGGAAAATTTAGAGAGAGAGAAAGAAATTGAAACATTAATGATGAGAGAGAATCATTAATTGGCTGCCTCCTGCATTCCCTCTACTGGGGATCAAGCTCACATGTGCCCCGACTGGGATTGAACTATCATCTCCTGGTTCATGGATTGATGCTCAACCACTGAATCACACTAGCTAGGCTGGATGAGGCAATTTTTTAAATTAAACATTTTTCTCAAAGATTCTATGAATGCACTTACTTTTGTTTATTTATAGTTTTGTTTTGTGACCTACATAGGTTTTAGCATAGTGTCTTGAAAAAAGTAGACATCCATAATTATTAAATTGAACCAAAGTTATGAAAAAGCAAATACTCAACCTTATCTACAGTTTGACTTCTCTATCTACTTGACTAATGCTTTTAGCCCCTTTTTCTTTCCCTTCCAAAATCTTTAGAACCTGGGCCACCATTTCAGGACACTTACACTTTGCCTCGAGTGATAGACAATTATGGGGAATTTTAGATCTCCACATCTACACTAATAAAAGAGAAAGGTACCAATTGACTGTACCTTCATGATGCCCACCAATTAATCAGGAGTGAGTATGCAAATTAAGCCAACAAATATGGCAGGTTAATTTGCATACACATCAGTGGAGCAACAGGGTGGGATGCTTGTATCATCTCCATGGCAACAGTGCAGGCGTCGCACTGCCCAGTCTCTCCAGGCCTCTGGGCACCATGGGAAGAAGGAAAGGTGGCTCCAGCCAGAGTGAAGGCCGTGCCGGCAGCCAGGGGAAGGAAGGCCCATTCTTGCACAAATCTTCATGCATCGGGCCTCTAGTTTCCTATAAATTCCTGTACTTCCAATTGTTTAACACAGACTCAACTTGATACTATGGTGAAAGAATAAAAATTAAAGAGATCTTTGACTTATGGAAGTATCTATATCTTTAGCCAAGCATCCTCAGGATGTACACCAATATTATACCATCTGAGGTATATCTTTGTAAATTAAATAACAAGAGACAGAAAATTGAGTATATAATGCCTTGGTTTAAGTCACAGCTCCAGCCCCTGGAGTTATCGGATTTCTGGCTTTGTTTTATATTCAGTGTGGTGTCTAAAGCAGTCCTCGTGCCTTGGCCAGGCCCCCTCTATTATTATTTGAGAACCAGTGAATGTAAAAAAGAGATAGTTTCTTTTAGGTGTGTTTTTCTTTTTCTCCTTGAAGAAAACAGATGGAAGTTGAACAACTTATTGATCTAATCAGAGGAACTTCTTCTCAGTATTTGCCCACTGGAGTGCTTTGGCATTTTGGATGTGCCAATTATTCTTTGTTTAGGACTGTATTATATATTGCAGGACAATAACTTTTAAGCCCACAATCATTGTAACAGCCCAAAAATGCATCTACATATTTCCTCTTACACAGCCAATATCACCTCTGGTTAAGAGCAATTATCATGGGGAAATATTTCTAATTCCTACATCTGTAATATTCTATTCTGTATTTTTCTTTGCATTTTTTACTGTCATACTTCTCATGTTTTCATTGTTGGCTCCTTCTCATCTTTACTGGACAACAAGAATTTTAGGGATCAAAGATGAACTCTTTACTATTTCAGTTTTGGAGGGGTGTCGTATGAGGTCATGAAGAAAACTGGTTAGTCTGGCAGTCATCTGGGATGAACGGTTAAACCTGCCTTCCAGTCCAGTGAGAACTTAATTGACATAGTTCTTGTTCTGAATCTAAGAGTAGGTTTAATAGCTTAAAAAAAGTACACAGGGATTACAACCTCAAAGTACATAAAAACCTCTGTTTTTAAATCTCTTTAACCGTTAAGAACTTCCAAAATTCTGAGCAATTCTGTGATTGATTAGCCAGTTGTTTAATGCTGAGTTAAAGTAATTGTAGGTTTTTAAACCTATAAAACAATTATACAATATTTATGAATACATAAATGTATAGTAAAAAAACAACAACAAACGTATGCATAGGGATGATCTATGCTGCATTCTTGAGGTTGGATATCTCTATGAAAAAGGGGCCCTAGCTGATTTGGCTCAGTGGATAAAGTGTCGACCTGCAGACTAAAAGGGTCCTGGGTTCTATTCCAGTCAAGGGCACATTGCCTGGGTTGCGGGCTCAATCCCCATTAGAGAGCTTGCAGGAGGCAGCCAATCAATGATTCTCCCTAATCATTGATGTTTCTATCTCTCTCCCTCTCTCCCTTCTTCTCTGAAATCAATAAAAACATATTTTAAAAAAATAAAAAGAAAGGAAGTTAGGAGGGACATGCAAGCAAGCAGCATTGATTGTATCTGTAGAATTTAATTTCTTTTAAAAGATCAGAAGTAAAAAAATTACATTATTAAACTTGGATAAAGCTGGGTAGTTAGTACCCAGGTATTTGTTTATTCTCTTTGTATAGTATATGAAAATTTCACAATCTTATTTAACTTTAAAGCTATTATTTTAAGGCTTTGTTTATTACAGATTAGCTACAAATTGAAACCAAGTAAAATTTTAAAATGCTCTAAGAAACTATTTTTTTTCCAGTTAGCCTCTATGTGTATAATCATTCTTTGTATCTCTTTTCCTCTTACCCTCTTTCAACTTCCTTTGTTTGGGTTTTCCCCACTCTGAAATTATCTCCAACTCATAGACATAGAATATGCCCGAAAACAAAACTGAAAAGTTCTTTTTAAGCAATGTTTTTCATTTGGGATAAGTCTGGTACAGTATTTCCTTTGGTAATGTTTAATCATTCTATGACTCTTTCTATATCTAGCCCAGCATATGGCAAATATTTGTCATCTGTAGTCACAGAATGGCTAAGTAAACCAGTTACTCTCCTTATTGGTTAGCATTATAACTCTTAGAGTTACTTTAAAAATAAAATTCCTCTTATCTTACAGGATTTTATTTTATTTTTATCTTATCAAAACAGTACTGAGTACTGGTTTCAGATTCTACATGAAATTTAATTTTGATTACTTTATAATTTAAAATACGAGACTCAGTTTTATTCTTTTTATACAATGAAACTGTATTCTTACTCTATAACTACTTCAGAGTATTCTTCTATACCCTATTGAACCTGAGAAACTACTGTCACAACTGAGGTTATGCAAGAGTTATTAATCTCTAATCTAAATTGTTGGGGGGGGGGTGCAGGAGGGGTGAAATATGTCCTATTGATAGGTTACCCTTTTTTTAAAAATCTGATTTGCTATTAATCTTTTCTTTCTTAGGCAATAAGCAACAAGGACCAGCACAGCATTTCATATACATTATCTCGGGCCCAGACGGTGGTGGTTGAATATACTCATGACAGCAACACTGATATGTTTCAGGTATTAAAACATGGGAATTCTTTTTTCATAAAAAAGTAAAGCCTGTTGTCGGTGACTTTTGCTCTGTTCAGATTAAGGATGATCATGTTTTCATGTATTTTATTTATATCTTGTTTTCTAAACCCCATATATAGAAGTCAGTGTAGCATAGTTAAGAGATGGTCTCTGAAATTATAATTCCTGCTAAGCATTACTTAGCCACTGTATGCCTCAGTTTCCTCCTAAAGTATGGTTAATAAAACTTCCCTTGTGTCACTATTAGGAGTCTTCCTAGTAAATGGTTTTTTAGTACATGTAAAGTGGTCAGAGGTATACCAGGTAGATGGTAAGTAAACACTTAGCTATAATATAAATGTAGTAGTTCTATTAACTATTATTATCTTCAAAAAAAGGAACCAATAAATATTCTGCACATGTTTTTGACCTTTTTTCCCCCCACTACTTTCTCACATTCCTCTGTGTAGGCAATAAAAAATACAGGTAGTTCTAACTGTTTCTAACATATATGACTTGTTTCTCAGCACATATTAGGTCAATAAAAGTTTTTTTCATTCTCTTATACTAATTGATGGTATAAGAATCTATAATAATAAAAGTATCATATGCCAATTAGACTGGATGTCCTGCCAGACAAAGCCAGGGCTGTGAGGGAAGCCCGGGTCCCGGGTGCCAGAGGGAAGCTGGAGCCAGCAGCGGGGGAAGGAAGGACCACTCTTGCACAGATTTCATGCATTGGGCCTCTAGTGTTTTTATAAACTGATAGGTGATTGAACAGCCAAACCCAAAGATATAAACAAAATTTTTGATATCTTCTCCCTTAATATGTGTTTTGTAAAGGCTTAGGTTTTTCGGGGAGTGTGGGGGGGGGGGGGGGCGGGGACTTTAAGTACCTAATAATGTTACTTTTACAGTTACTATTTTAAAATGACTTTTTAACTTTTCCTTTATTTTATAAGAGTAAATGAATGTGAAAAGGTCTGGAGATGTCTTTAATTATAACCAATAGCAAATATTTGAAGTCACTCCCCCCAGCCCTTTTAGTAGAATAGACTTTTTTCTTTTTTCTTTTTTTCTTTTTTTTTTTTTTTTTTAGAAAATTGTGTCTAATATTAGAATATGGCTGTTGCTTTTACAAAAAAAAATTTTTTTTTTTAAATAACAACTTTAAAGAAGATGAAGGTTTGGATCTTAATGAGAACCTAACAAAAGCTTTAGGATGATTTTCCACATTTCATTTTACTGACAACCAGTTCAAATGAATGTGCTTAATTAGCTTTTTAAAAATCAAAATGCTACCTAGAAATTTGATCATAAACTAGAATTGTAGTTTTAGGAATTCCCTTGTATTTGTTTACCCCTTATCTTTTGTCTATAAAGTTACTGAAATCTTGTGAATCAAAGATTATAAAGTTAGTTGATTATAAAATTGTGATTAAACCAGCCATCCTGAATTATGGAATAGTCTCTTCGCCATCTTATAAAGGCTTTTAAATAGATTATGGCCTTTTTTGTTTTGTCTTTTTCATAAAGGAATAGTTTCCCTCAATGATAGTAAACTGATGATATCCTTTCTATAGGCATTATACTTATGGATGATACGAGCATTTCTATATAAAAAACCTGAAATATATCAGAAACTACCTCGGTAAATTAGCCAATATTTGAGGAACTAGTTTTGTAAGCATTCAAGGATCCACTTACCTTCTAAACTGAACAAGAACCTTTATTGTTCAAGACATCAGATATTCAAACTTCAACTCTGTGCATTGCTTGACATTCTGAAGTAAATACAGGGGACACTGCAAGTTGATTACTTACAGGTGCTACATTGGCAGTCTAAGAAGTACAGTCTTTTCATGGGTTGAAGAAGAGTGAGGAAAGGCTTTATGGTAGTGGCCTTTTTTTTTTTTTTTTTTTTTAATCACGTTGAGTAGAATTTTGCCAGTCTATCTAATAGAAGCATTCTGACAAAAGAAATGACAAAGAAGTACACCGCATGGTAGAAGATTGATGAATAAGTGACTGGTAGCTAGAATACACTTTTGTGTGAACAGAAATAACAGGAAATTAGGCTGGATAGGGAGGTGGGAGGCAAATTGTGAAGTTAGTTTTTAATTATTATCAGAAATAAGAAACTGATAAGTTCAGATAGATTGTAAGGAACTCCTGAAGTTTTTAATGGGTGTGAAGAGACGTAAGATCTATATTTTTAAAGTTAATAGTAGCAATTAGAAAGAGGAGGAATTACTAAAGTTTATCTTAACACAATTCTATGTTGGCATCTGAGGACAATCATGTAGGTTTTCCCTTTATAGATATTTCTGATTTCTTCTTTCTTACCTGTCGTGACCAATATTGCTTTGATGTCTGAAATCTTCTCTAAGACCTAAATCAAATATCAGCTCCTCTGGAACAATCTCTCTTTCCAAATAAATGCTGCTTCTGAGTATCAATTCTCAATCCAATCCTTGATCTACATCTTTTGGCTCTAAAACAGCCTTTTGTTTTTGGAACTATTTCAAAGGTTTGAGACCATTTTCTTTGGATATCATTTTAAAATAGGGAAAAGGGATATTCAATCTTACATTTGTTAACCAACCAATTTCCCCTTAAAATTCTCTAAACTAAATAAAGACTTTATGCTTGATGATAGGAACAAAACACTAAAGAGTTTTATCCGAAAGTGTGCTGATATGAGGAATTCCTGAGGCTCAACTATGCAAAGAATAACTTTTAAAAGTCATCATCTCTGTAGAGGGCCTTTTTTTTTTTTTTTTTTTTTTTTTTTTTTTTTTTTTTTTTTTTTTTTTTTGTACTTACATTCTTCAATTTTATGGTATTACTTTATAATAAATACATTAATGTACTGATAATTTTAAATGTTTATTTTGAAACCCTGTGACACTTGTTCTGTCATCCATCCCACATATTTCCTTTTTCTTTTCAACTTTGATCTTTCAAAATGAAATTAATTTATTTACTAGCTAGTACTCTGAAGTTGTTTTTAATTCTCTGATACTTTTCCCACCAGAACTCTTATCTGGGAATCTTGTCTCTGAAATATGTCCAAGAACTAGGAAAAAAAATTAAAAGGACATCTAGGCATATAAAATAAATGTCAGATAGGCCAAGCACTGACATTCCTTTCTCTGCTCCCTGGAGAATTCCTTAAGCTCTTAGCAGTAACCTTTTGAAAAACTATTCTTTGAAGTTTGGTTATTTGATTTCTCAACCCATATAAAAGTAGCTGGATAGAGGAGGTGGATATGGTGCTGGAGTCAAATATGCCCAACATGGTAACTGACAACCTGGCAGAAAAGGCCTCCCCCCAAAAAAGTATTAGTATATATAAGACTTCAAATCAAGACTATGTAAGGCCTTAACATAAAGATCAGCATTCTTTTTTTCTTTTTCTTTTTTAAATATATTTTATTGATTTTGTACAGAGAGGAAGGGAGAGAGATAGAGAGTTAGAAACGTCGATGAGAGAGAGTCATCGATCAGCTGCCTCTTGCACACCCCCTACTGGGGATATGCCCGCAACCAAGGTACATGCCCTTGACCGGAATCGAACCCGGGTCCTTCAGTCCCCAAGCCGACACTCTATCCATTGAGCCAAACCGGTTTCGGCAGGATCAGCATTCTTGTACACCTTTATAGCACCTAAAGATATCACTAATTCAGCTGAATATAAATGGTATTCTTAGTGTAATATCCTGGAGTCATCATAAACGATTTACTTATATGTCAACTATATTCTGTTAAAAAAGATAGAGTAGTATATGATAGACATTTTTATCCAAGTGGGTTAAAATTAAAATCTGCAGCCATCTAGAAATCTCAGCCATCCTAAACTCTATATTCCCTGAGGGTTTCATATATTCTGGGTCATAACTTCTCACTTAATTCTACGCTCTAAGTGACTATTATAACAGAGCAAGTCTGTTAGATTAGTTTTCAAGGGTATAGATGTCCCCAGAGTTAACTATAAGTTTGAGCTTTAGAAGTTTCAGAAGCGTAATGATGTCACCTTATTGTGCCTTTTTTTGAATGGGTTTTCCACTGTGTTCCTTTGAATGGGTTTATAGACATTTCTTTTTCCCTTAGATTGGTCGGTCGACTGAAAGTCCCATTGATTTTGTAGTAACTGACACAGTTCCTGGAAGTCAAAGTAATTCTGATACACAGTCAGTGCAAAGCACTATATCAAGATTTGCTTGTAGAATTATATGTGAACGGAACCCTCCATTTACAGCACGGATTTATGCCGCAGGCTTTGACTCATCAAAAAACATCTTTCTTGGGGTAAAAAGCTTTTTTTCTATCTGATGCATTATTTTATAATCACTTGTATTTCCAAATTACAAATAAGCGGAAGCTCTCACTCTTCTTATTCCTGCTAGGAGAAGGCTGCCAAATGGAAGACATCAGATGGGCAGATGGATGGCTTAACCACTAATGGCGTTCTTGTTATGCATCCACGTAATGGGTTCATGGAAGACTCCAAGCCTGGAATATGGAGAGAAATATCAGTGTGTGGAAATGTATTTAGCCTGCGTGAAACCAGGTCAGCTCAGCAGAGAGGAAAAATGGTAAGTATTAAGATGTAGCTTCTTATTTAGCTACAGTAAATATATAGGGTGAGTTGGACTGAATGCAATACATATTCCCCAAAATTCTTAAATCTCTTGTTGATACATAATACTAAGTCTGATTATCATACATTGACTACTAAATACTATACTATAGGATAACATTTCAATAATTCAATTAGGACACTCAGTTTATTTCCATATTATGTTAATACTAGAGGCCCAGTGCATGAATTTGTGCATCTTGAAAGGAACTGTGGGCTGGAGGCTGCGGTGGGCACAGAGGCGGGTCTTGGCCAATCTTTTACGCCCCCATCCGACACCTCCTGCCACAGCCCCCAATCCCCGCTACCGCTACTACTGTTCCCACGTGTGAACAACGCTGGCCCAGCTCTGACGGCATGGAGCGATTGGGGCTGGTACCAGCAGCAGGTGCGAGCGGGGCTGCTGCACCGATCGCCCCTCAGGACCTGGATGAGATGGAAAAACCTTTAGGGGCAATTGGGGCTGGCAGCCGTTGCTTGCACCCATGACGGCACCGAGCGATTGGGGCCATCACCGGGCGCCAGCAGTGGGTACAAGTGCTGAGCAGGACTGTGGTACACAGGAGCAAAGAATGTTCAGTAACTACCAGAGGCTCGCCCTGATGACTGTGACTGGCGCTGTGCCTTGGTCTGGTGCCCCCTGGTGGTCAGTGGCTGTCATAGTGATCAGCTGTCAGTCTGTTTGCATATTAGCCTTTTATTATATAGGATATTTTAAAAAATAAGCTTTCCTAAATTAAGCAGCACTCTGTATTTTCTACTTATATTTATATTATCTTTGGCCATATTTATTGGATATATTCGACCAACTGATTAGCCTCAGAAAATAAGCCTATGTGGTCACATATGTTCAGAAAAGACAACTGCCTATTGATTCCCGTTTTTCCATGGTACTTAACCTGTTCATGCAGCCATCCCTTTTGTTTTAATCATAAATTATCCTATAAAATAAAAGGCTAATATGCAAATCAACCAAATGGCAGAATGATCAGTCACTATGGTACACTGAGGGCACAATGCAGGAGCTGCCCCGTGGTGGTCAGTGTGCTCCCACAGGGGGTACACATTCAGCCAGAAGCCAGGTTCACGGCTGGTGAGTGCAGTGGCAATGGCCTCTCTCGCCTCTGCAGCAGTGCTAAGGATGTCCAACTGACTGCTTAGACCTGCTTCCCCTGGGGTGCGGGCCTAAGCCGTCAGTCAGACATCCCCCGAGTGCACACGGACCGAGGGTGCAGGCCAGGCTGAGGGGACCACCCCTTTCCAAGTGCAAGAATTTCGTGCACCAGGCCTCTAGTCTTTAAGGCTTAAGAGAAATACATGTAAGACTAACACTCTTATGCAAATATCTAAAGCACAATAGTGAATTTTTTTTTTTTTAATTCTTGTTTCCTCTAGGTGGAAATTGAAACTAATCAGTTACAAGATGGCTCATTAATTGACCTTTGTGGTGCAACATTGCTGTGGCGTACTGCAGAAGGCCTTTCCCACACTCCAACAGTGAAGCATTTAGAAGCTTTAAGACAGGAAATCAATGCAGCACGACCTCAGTGCCCTGTAGGGTTCAACACGCTAGCATTTCCTAGTATGAAGAGGAAAGATGTTGTTGATGAGAAACAACCTTGGGTCTATCTAAACTGCGGCCATGTGCATGGCTATCATAACTGGGGAAACAAAGAAGAACGTGATGGAAAAGATCGGGAATGTCCTATGTGTAGGTCTGTTGGTCCCTATGTCCCCCTGTGGCTTGGATGTGAAGCTGGATTTTATGTGGACGCCGGCCCTCCAACCCACGCGTTTAGCCCATGTGGGCATGTGTGTTCAGAAAAGACAACTGCCTATTGGTCCCAGATCCCACTTCCTCATGGTACTCATACCTTTCACGCAGCCTGTCCCTTCTGTGCACATCAGTTGGCTGGTGAACAAGGCTACATCAGACTTATTTTCCAAGGACCTCTAGACTAACAGACAGTTGTCCTCCAGGACTGCATTATACATTTATAAGCTAAGTGAGTTGGGTTTTTCAACCTGTTGTACACGTCACGGTTTCTCTGATCTGGTCATTTCCATTAAGATGAAGAATTTTTTTAAACATTTATAATAAATTGTAGCAATTTTTGAGCAAAAACGTGGAAAACTCAAGCAAAGGAATTTACAAAAGTACCTGACTTCTGAATTCTGAGGTTTTTTTTAATCTATTTTGAGGAGAAAAAAAGACAGTTTAATAAGATGCCTTCATTTTAGTGTTTTTGAATCACCCATCCTCAGTGTTGAAAAATGGTTTTGTATAACTGAGGGTACTGTTGGTTCAAACTATGTTAGTTTACAGTTTATTGCAAACATTGTAAATTACAGCAACATGTATATTAACTTTTTTCCTATTTATCTTTATGATAGAAAATACCTTAGGATGTTCTTGCTAGAGTAGCTTGGTAATGATGGTGTCACACGCTCGGTGTGAATGCTAGGTTAGTTGAGCATAGCTGAAGGATTTGCAAAGTTAGGAAGATGGGCAAAAGAGCCTCTTTCCCCACCCCCATCTAAATATGGACTTTGGTAAATTAGAATACTTTGTAAAATGAAATTTATATTAATTACCCTTGTGTAAAAGGTATTTGTTTTTAACCACATTCAAGATGATTGGGAAAAGAGTTTTTTTTCCTTAATGTTCCTCTCAAGTGTAATACTATAACAGAAACTTAATGCTAAGAAACATTTTATACGCTCCTTTTGAATATGCAATTTAATCTAGATTATCTATTTTTCTCCCGTGATAACTAATCTGTTTTTAGTATCAGCAACATTTGGCAAGTTTATTTTTTAGATATAAACTGTGGCTCATCTGTTCACTGTTTCTAGAAGAAAAAAAAAATCATTCTCATGAGGAAAAGCATAAATTAACAAGAAAGGAGAGTGACTTGATTTGCTTTTAGAAAAGGAAATGCTTAAATAATTAATTATTCCGTTTTGGGCCTTATCCAGACATTAAGGAATCTAGAGAGATAGAAAGGGTTGAATAATGATAGTGCACCCCCCATTTTTAACCTCACAGATCAGCCTTGGCTTCTGGCTGGAATCCTAAGGAAAGCTGCCAGCGTTAAGGAAAAGTTTGGTTGTCAGAGGAGCACCATCGACAGCAGAGTGGAGGGACATATTTGCATGATCTGTTTAGTCTCTAATTCCAATAAATTATTTTGCTCTCAGAAACAATAAAAAGTTTCTTCTTCTCCTATTCCTTCTCCTCCCCACCCTCCTCTTTTTTTTTTAATGCACCACAAGGAAAGTACAGACAGCTGCACTGCATCAAACCCTCTGTGGCACTTATATAAATCAATACACTTTTAGATTAGATGGAATTCTTATTTTAATCTTTTTATTTGTTTTCCTTTAGTTTGAAAGTTGTATAATACTTAATTGACTCTAGCAAAATTTTGTATGTGGTAGCATAGCTTTAATTTATCCTATTACAATGCTGTTCTGAATTTTCTTTCGGTTAAAAAAAAAAACAAACAAAACCTGTTGCTTAGAAGCCATGAACTATTTTTATTTTACTTCAACTTGTCAAAATTTCCTTGTTTTTAAAAACTATCATGTGGACTCACTCAGGAAATGCATGTCAGGAAATTTGTATTATAAGTTTATTAGTTGTGATGTATCAGTAACTGCTGTTACCCCCTTTTCAAAGAAATATAACTAATTTTGAAGTTTTCTAGCTTGTCACATGCTTTGTGACTAATGCAAGGAAATCAAGTCCTGTGTTGTATTTGTTCTAGTCATTTCTATTCAGTCTATATATTGTAGCTAATTTTTATTTGCAATTAATTTATTCAAACTAAGTAAATACTTTTCAAAATAGATATTTGAATTTGTCTCTGTGCATTCGTCTTTGCATAACTTAGAATGGGAAATCAGAAGTGATAATTTGCAGACAAGACTTATTGCACACTTCAAAACTACGCGCTTGAAATAGATGAATTTGCATTTGAGATACAGTTTTAAATCTCTGGTTCTCTTCAGAAAGCATCTCTTATTAATGATTGCATTGTTACTACGTTTAGTCTTAGAAGAGAGTTGGCTTCTTGCAAGTTGCATCCTAGGCTGTTTAAATAGTGCCTCAATGACCAGAAAAGATTCATCTTCATTATAAAGTGCCTAAATTCCTCTGCCACCTGGAAAAAATCTGGTTCATGTCACATCAAACTCATATTTTGAAAACTCAGGTAATTTAAATCATTAGTCAAGTATTTTTCTGTTTAAGCATTTTGAAAATTTTGTTCTGTCACTTTGCCAATGCCAAATGGAACACTTTTTACTTACAGGCTTGTATTAGGGCAATGCCAGTATTCTGGCCAAGGGAAAGGAGTTGTATATCAGTTTCCTAAGTGCACTCTCAAGAAAGATATTTTTTATGGCTTAACTCCTATAAATATCTAATACCTAAACGTCTTAATATCTAAATGTTCCTTAATTTGTACAGAGGATTAAACTTCCCATCATTTAAAATGTTAGGGTCATGAAGCAAGACACAGTAAGTAGCCAGAGGAGGAGTCTTTACCAGGTTATCTTCTTGAAGCTGAAATTGCTCATTTTCATCATATAAAAGTCTAATACACATAAAACAGGATAGAAATAAGTAATGATGTAAACATATAATTACATCTAACATGAGTATTCCCACTCCACTCTTCCCTCAGGATAGTTCAAGAACCATGTGTGAAGCATGGCCTTCTAAAACATACAATGAGTAAGGGCACCACGGAAATTCATCTTTAAATTTATAAAATAAATAAAATTCCGACACTTTGACCCCCTCATCTCAATGGATCAGGATCATCTTGTGCTACCCTACTATAGAGACGACTGGCTAAAAGATATGTGACCCACTCTTGTGTTTATGTTCTAAGTATTAATCATCAAAATAGTATACTATAATTGAACAGCATTATTTTATCTCCCACTGCCACTTTTGGAATTACTCTTACATAAGTATACTTTAAGGCCGTTTTATCCACACATTCTTAAAACAGTTATTTGAATATCCACTATGCACCAAGCCCTATTCTAAACAGTGATTGATGAGGGGGATCAAAGAAAGGGATTCCCTTTCTTCATAGGATTTGTATTCTAGTGGGGAAAACAGAAATGAATAAGAAAAATAAAAGGTAAAGCATGACAGCAGTTTTGAAGGGACAAATGAAGCAGAAAGGGAGATACAAAGTGTGTGTGTAGAGTGTTTGCAGTATTAAATAGGAGAAAGAAAAGCCCCACTGGAAAGGTGGTACTTGAATAGAGATCTGAAGGATGTGGCTACTTAGGAGCAAAACATTTAGCCAGAGGAACAATAATTATAAGGGTCCTAAGTTAGAAGCTTGCAATCTTACATAATAAAAGGGTAATAGGCAAATTGACCAAACAGCAGAATAACTGGTCATTGTGACACACACTGACCACTAGGGGGCAGACACTCAATGCAGGAGCTGCCCCCTGGTGGTCAGTGCGCTCCCACAGGGGCAACGCCGCTCAGCCAGAAGCCAGACTGATGGCTGGGGGGGCAGCGGCCTGCCCTGGCAGTGCTAAGGATGTTGGACTGTGGGCTTAAGCTGTCAGGCAGACATTCCCCAAGGACTCGGACTGTGAAAGGGCCCAGGCCAGGCTGAGGGAGACCCTCTCCTCCCACCTCTCCCCAAGTGCACAGATGTCATGCAGCGGGCCTCTAGTCATTCTTTAATAGCAAAGAGGCCAGTGTGGTTCTGTCAAATAAAAAGAAGAGTAGTAGGTAGAGTGACAGGGTGAGTGGGGCATGGGATGAAACTAAATTTTGGAGGATCTTCTGAGACTTGGCTATTATTTTGAGTAAGATGGGGGCCATAGGATTTTGAACAGGGAGGAGATGTGATCTGACATTTTTTTTAAATTTTTTTATTATTATCTTTGTACATATACCATTGCCCACCCCCTCCCATACATGCCCTCCCTCCCTATTTTTAAAAGATTTAAATAGACTTTAGTGGGAGCAGGGAGACAATGCAATAATCCTGGAGAGAGATGACGAGATGTGGATCAAAGAGGAGTTAGTTTGAAGAGTGGTCAGAACCTGGGTATGTTCTGAAGGTGACAGGACCTGACAATATTTGCTGGCAGATCAGGTATGGGAGTGAAAGTAGAGTCAAGGGTTTTCTCAGCTCCGCCTAAGCAGCTAAAAGGATAAAATGGTCGTTTATTGCAGTGGAGAAGATTATGAGCGGAATGGTTCGGGGGGAGGGCACACTGCTTGTGGAATTGGGAACTTAGCTTGGACGTTAGATTGAGACTGCTTTTAGACAAGATGTTTGCCAAAGTAAACCTCTGCTTTTTCTTTTTTTTCTTTTTACTCATTATGATCGGTATTCTCCATATATTCTCTGCTTGCTTAGAAACAAACAAAAAGTATTCCTCCTGATGAGTGGCACACTTCCTTTCGTTGAAATGGAGTTGGGACACCTCTCCAGTTTCTCTCTCTGTTTCGGCGGCCCTTTCAGGAAATGAAGTTCTGTTTTCAACTGCAGTAGTAACTTCCTTTAGCAAATAAGTTCTGATTCAGTTTTCTTCCTTTCTCAGGTACACTTTTGTCTTTAGCTCTTGCATTTATGTTCTTAAAAGTCCTCAGTTTTAGTGAATCTTAATGTTTTGCTACTTCAAATCTTTATTGGCAGTGGCCAAGTACATGTTGTGTTTTATATTTTTATTTTTTATTTTATTATTTAAATATTTACAGAGTTCTTAAGCCTATTATGTAAGCCTGATTTTAATATTCAGTTTCTCTTAAGGAAATATGCCTGTGTTTGATGTTGTCAGCAGAAAAAGAAGTAAATAAGATAGAAATGAAATTTTTTTTTTTTTATTGATTTTTTTTTATTTTTTTTTTATTTTACATATTTTATTGATTTTTTTTTGCCCCCCTCCTTCCCTCCCACGTATCCCCTCCC